CGACTTCCACCTCCAACAAGTGGCAGAGCAGGGCGTGGGTGTGTACTTAGTCCCCTCATAAAACTTAGTCTCCGAATGCTTCATATTTGCCTGCTCCTTTCACCTACACGCAGGAACAGCAAACAAAGGTAAAAGGGACAGACGATTAAATGATCATGGCCATTAAGTTTGCTTTAAAATCAATCAAGAAAACCAGTTTTATTTTGTTACAACAATAAAAAATTCACCTTCCGCCCTTACAGCCGTAAATATTAAATTGCAGTTGGAACCAACACATCGTAGTCATCATTTACAAAGAGAACCAGCCTCTGTCTACTCCGCTTCCTGACAAGGCTACAAGAACCTAATGCTCGTGTGAAGTACACTCTCAGCATTTTTATTTGTTGAAGAAAATGAACTTCCCACTGAAGCATCACAAAAATTAGGTAATATGACAATGACAAGGTTCTCAGATTCTGAAATCTATATAATACCAAGGTGTAGATGTCTCTCATCTCATTTACAAGTTTAATGTTTTAAAATAGTCTTTCTTCCACGAAAACTGATGTGATTGGTTTATGGGATTTAATTATACAATTCCAGCTCAACTGGTCTAAATTCAGTGTGCTTAGTCTAAAGCCACCCTTGAGACGGAATTCATCTCGTGTATGCTGAACCACAGTAGCCAGTCTAGCATTTAGAGACACTACCCGTCCGCCCACCAGCGGGCCCTCCCAGTCGCCTGCGCTGTAAACAGTCTGAAACAACATGCTGCTTATTGCAAATGATATACTTTAGTAGATAAATATATGAACACTAATCAAAAAGTCTCTTTAAGAATAAAATATCTTAGCCCTTTGTATATCAAATCAGAACATGAGAGGTAAAAGAATGTACATTATTTTCAAATATACAAACTATGTGCTAAAGTAAAAAAAATAAAATGTCCTTTAATTTGAAGTCCTGTCCACGCCGCTGTCAGTGGCCGCTGTGCAAGGAAGCCGGTCCTCCAGGAAGGTCGCTCCTGCTGGTCTCTGCAACAAAGCAGCAGAGCAACATCAGTCTCCTGGCAAAGTCTGAACTTCAATTAAACAAACACTGTTACTCATTTAAAGACATAATTCAAGCAACAGATTACAGAAATTTAAAAATAAAACGTATGTGTAAAAATGGCAACCCATTCCAGACAGTTAAGAGAAGCCTATGAACATCTCCCGCACACACAGTGCGAGGCTTTCCAGCATCAGCCCCATTCGCCCGGTCAGCACGGGCTATAAAAAACGATGCAGCCGGAGCTGGGGTCAACGTTTCCAAAAGTAAAGCAAGTAGCTTTGGTGACAATGACGATGGGGCCACACCCATGAAACCAATAGCTGGCATTTACTGGGCGATATATACCGACCAACAGGGAGACGCTATATTCCACCCTAATTTTACAGAGGAAACTAAAGCGGGAGAGTGGCCTGGAGGAGCACCTGGCGCTCACATCCTGGCGCGCGGCGTTGCTCGGGAAAGGGGTGCAGAGCAGCTTCTGCACAAAAGGGTCTCCCAGAGACGGCACGTCCCTAAGCCCGGGGCCGAGGGCCAGCCAGCGAACAGCTTCCGCGCCTTTGTCACCTAGCTTCGTTCCCCGCGCCTCTGTTTCTATCTATTGTTTGAAATTATCTTAGTCTTAAGAGGGCGTTTGGGGAAAGATGCTCACAAACTAATGCACTACAGGTAACGAGAAGGAAGAGGAACCCCGAGACGCCGCTTCTGAAGGATGTTTAGTCAGGATACAAGTTTTATCCCGCTTTAAGTGTCTCAAGGGTGACCAAGTACGGGAGAAGCAAATCTCCTTTCCTTCTGGAGCCTGCCAGCAACAACATAAACCCACTGGCTGCACTGTGGCTCGAGCAAGGGCACCCCTAAAACAGGAGCCGCGCCAGGCAGGCCGGCCCGAAGGAGCCCTGTCCCAGCCGCGGGGCCTCCCGCCTTCCAGCTCGGAGCCCCTCCAGCTCGGAGCCCCCCCAGCTCGGAGCCCCTCCAGCTCGAAGCCTTTCCAGCTCAGAGCCGCAGTCTTCCTCTGGCAGCCCGCTTTTCTCTGGAACCTGTTCAGACTTAAGCTCTAATATTTCTATCTTTGCCTCACGGATCCTAAATACGTAAAAAAATGAAAAAACTGATTCAGTTTGAATATTACATATTTAGGAAAATATACTTGCTCCTCTAGGATGGCAGATTTTAAAATCGAAGCATCATGATTTTGTAAAACAATTACAGTAAAAATTCTGATGGGACTTCCTTTTACTTGGCAAAATGATTTTAAGATTAATCTTAAAAAATGTAGAACAGGCCAGAAAAATTTTCTTCACTGCAGCGCAACTTATTTAAAAATCACTTTATTAACTTAACACTAGAACAAACACTATCATTCAAACACTTTCCGATTTATCTTCTCAAGTCAAAGTCTAAACACAGGCATTCAGAGCTTTTTACAATCTACAGAGGTTTTAATCAAGTAAATACGTCCCTTTCAAAGGTTTTTAAGAATACAGATGCTGGTGCTCTCCCTCCAGGGAGCACGCCTGCCTTTTCCTCCCCTCTCATCCCCACAGGCCTGTGTCTCTTAAACTCGAAGGGCCCCCACGAGACCTGCAGCCAGGGGAGCAGTGGGCAGCGGCCGCTCCACCCGGCTCAGGCCTTGATCCCGTCTCCAAGGCCCCTTTTCCTCCGACTTCCCAGGGAGCTAACAGCAGCCCCCGGCTCACTTCTTTCCTGTCACATTTCTAGGGAGCCAAAGCAGAGCACTGCCTGGGCTCTCCCTTTCGCTGCTTCTGTCCCAGCTTTAAAAAACGCTCCCTCAAAACCACCTGAAAAAATGCCTTGGGATTTGATAATCAAAATACATCATCTACTTGCAATATTGATTATCAATACTGCCTAGACCGGGAAAATTTATAGTTTTACTTTCTGCTTTTATAATTTTATGCCTGAAGTTAAAAATAAAAACAAACGTGTGTGTGTATATATATATATACCATTGTTGTCAATTTTACATACGAGTATATATTTACCATTTACGTTTTTATTACAAAAGTGATTTTCCAAATAAAATCGCAATAGTAAAAAAAATCATTTTACTTTTAACTTATTAGCCTATCAGAATATTAAGAGGCATTGCTTGGCATATAATCATACAAATGTTCCTGCATTCATTCACAGTACCAAGAAGTTCACTTCTATTGCAATTACACTGTTAGTAAGCAAACAATATTTTTATTTTTATTTATTTTTAAATTTTAAAAAAATCCTCATTGGAGGATATTTTTTTTCCATTACTTTTCAGAGAGTGGGAAGGGGGGAAAGAGAGGAAGACACATCAATATAAGGGACACACACTGATTGGTTGCCTCCTGCATGCACCCCAACCAGGGCCCATTGCCTGCAACCGAGGTACGTGCCCTTGGTCGGAATCGAACCCGGGACCCTTCAGTCCGCAGGCCGATGCTCTAACCACTGGACCAAACCGGCCAGGGCAGCAAACAGTATTTTTAAAGGGCCAGGCTTTTGTCTCTTTCTGAAGTGGTTAGCTTCCCTAAGATTTTTTTTGAACTTCTATTTAATTTTTGTTTTCAAATGCTGTGAAGCAGTAAGTTCTAATTAATGAAGTCTTACTACATTTGGGAATTCATGTTTTAGACACTGCTTTGACAACATCAAAATAGTATGAATTCAATACAAAAATCATTTTTCACCCAGAAGTAAGACAAAGAAGTGAGACAATGTCAACTAGTTATGGCAAATTAAAATCTGATTTTCCGACACTAACTTCCACGTTTGTTGTTCCTTTATACCAATCTCTGCTGTGTTTGAACATGCTCACGGAGTACAAAATAATTTTATCTTCTCCAAACAAAAATAGGAAATGAATTGAAATAAACCATATGGCTTTATGAAGATAAATTATTCCACGATTATATGCTTTAGAATTATACCCTCCAACAGTATATACTCTAAAAAGTTGAATTTTCTAGGTAAAAATAGTGTGAGTTCCTAAGCTGCCATAAAAACTGTATCTTGAAGTCAGAGGATTTGCTCTTTTGCAAATGCTACTTACCTTCTGTAAAGTCAAATATACTCAAGCCAATGACATTATATGAAGGTCATGAATGCAAAAGAAATCAGTAAAAACTGACACTGTTCTACGGCTTTAGAAAACTATGCTAGTTACTGTTATCTTCTAGTAGCACTTAATGCAACGTAGCCCTGGGCTAGGACAGACAAATGAAACACCAAATAGATTTCACATCATCTCGAGGACTGTAGGAAAAGTTATTTTTTAATGGAAAATATAGTTTAGCCAAAAGAAAACCTGTCATGTACTGACTGCGAATAGCCCCTGTATGGGAGGTTCACGGGCAGGCACAGTGCAGCCTTTCCACGGCCAGTACTGTCAGTCTCAAGAGGCTGAAGGCCTAGTGCATCCCTTGGAAGAGAAATTTGGCAAGAAAAAGGTTTATTCCTTTTTTTCTCCTAATGTGGTTAAATAAACCAGATATCCCCAAGTAATTTCTCTGCTTACAAGTTTTATTTACACAGCAACTGTTAATAGTGGTATTTAGTGAATTCCTTGTATTTATATTTTATGTACATATTTATACTTGAAAGGTAAAGAAACTGTACAATGATAAAAATGAGAAAAAGAAATACAGTAACTCAGGTCCAATTCAGGAAACACACACACGAAAGGAAGATTGAGCTCAGGCAGGTAGAATACCCTAAGTGTGATTCCCACTAGGGCCCACAGCCCCCTGCCAGGGCCCCCAACATGAAGGAAAGAGTTACCAGAGACAAAGTTAACCTTAAAAGTGCAGAAAAGGCCAGAAATTTTTTAAAAAAAGAATAAAGATGAAGGAATCTGCATTGTCTTGCAAATATCAAAACATATTGTTTATAAATAACTGTTATTCCCTAAACAATATTAGGGTAATTGATCAAATACTTAGGGAAAAATAGGTTAGCTCGATCGCCCCTTGAACCATGTGGATTAAAGATTTAAATGTAAAGTACAAAACCACAAATATTAGATAAAATTTTAAATTTTCTATCTAAGCAAAATAAATCAGAAAGTCAAAGGATACAGGCCTTGGGGAAAAGGGGTGATATTTAACACATCTGACTAAGACCAAAGTGCTTAGGATCAGTATGAAAATTAGCTTCTCCACAGAAACACAGGCTGAAGATGAAATGGAAAACTCGTGAGAGAAACAAATGACTGGCAGATGGGAAAAGACGGTAATGTCACCAATAATCAGACACTGCAATTCAGCGCCGGCCGGTGTGGCTCAGCTGGCTGGGCGCCCTCCTGGCACGACAGGCTGCCTGTTCCTTCCCGGGGGCGCGCAGGAAGCAGCCCTGCGATGCTTTGCTCTCACATCCATGCTTCTTTCTCTCTCTCTCCCTCTAAAAATCAATAAAAAAATCTTCAAAAGAAAATGTAATTCACTCTATTTTACCTCTCAGAACAACAGGAAACAACCAGACAAGTGGAAAACAAATACACATAATGGTAAGAAGGGGCCACGTACTGACCGAGTCCATCCACAGGGTGTGGCCTGAAGACAGGACTGTGGAAAGCCCAAAATGTACCCTCCGCAGCTACACAGAACCAGGTGCCTACTGGTACGGAAAGAGCTTCCCGCGCTCACACAGAGACAGGTTACCCAGCAGCACATAAACGACGCTCTCCCGGTCGTTGAACAGCAAGAACTCCGAAAAGGCATGCATTCACCAAAACGACAGAACGGCATTTCCAGGTGTGAGCCCATGGCCCCCTCGCCCTTACGCTTTCCTGCGTTTTAGGGATCTCCGCATCTCCTTCCAATGACGAGTGTCGGTGTGTGGCACACCCTGCGGCTACGTACCCAGCAGGGCCGTGTGCTCCCCGGCGTCCTCCTTAAGGGGCCCTCGGGGCTGGGGCGCGGGCTCGGAGGCGGAGCTCGCCCCAGGCCTGGTCCCCGCGCCTCTGTCTTCGTCCTGCAGGGCGATGCTCACAGGCGCGGCCACAACACTTCCAGGGGCCGACTCCGCGGCGGGCGTCTCCTGGGCAGCCTCAAGCTCTCCCTTGGGAGTGAGAACAAAAGGAAACGTCTTTTCTAAGTAAATCGATCAAAGCTTACCTTTCAGCTTCTGTGCATAACTCACACAAAATGCTTCCTAATATGCAGAACATGGCAAAGAGCACGTGACTCCTTTACTTAACATCGTCAATGAGTCACTTCTCAACAAGCAGCTTCCTAAGACCTGACCATTTTTACTCTAACCACCATTTCCCTTGATACGATCAAAGCCACCTTCAAACTGTCTGTGGACAGGCAGGGAAGCTTTGTTACACACACTCTCCCGCCCCCGGAGACGATGGAATCAGCCTGCCGCCAACCACACCGCCTTGGCCACGGCCGGTCCCTGCTCCCTCGGCTGCGCCGGTCCGCAGCGAGGGCCGGGCTTTCTGAACAACACGGCGCTTCCCACTGGATCTGGTCCACTTAAAAATATCAACTGTCAATTTGCCTCTAACTACGTCCTCTCTCATTTGCTGCTTTAAATAAAATAATGGAAGGGGGGGCGAGACTCTAGGAGGATTACTACATTCTGTCTCAAAATTTGGGGGCCATCCAGACCTTGTCTGATTAATGCTGGAGTCAAAGCCATGCTGTGATCAGATGAAACTGCTGGGAAGGGGACTGACATGAGGGGTGGGGGTGGGTTCTGTGCGCCTGGGCAGAGACCGTCACCTGTGCTCCAAGTGGAACCCTGCAGTCCCTCCCCTGCCCTCCCCCGGGCTCTCAGGGCCCGGGCCTGCCGCCTGCGCCACACTGCACCCCACCTGTGTTCCAGAACCCCGCCTCCCAAATACCGCGTACTCTGCCGCTCTCATCAGTAACGAACACCCTCCGGACATGACACCCGACACGCCTCACACCAGATCTTGTTGAGCTGCCACACTGTCCAAACTCGCTCAGCCCACTGTTTTTCCCAGGTGTTTCTCCAAATACCTGCCAAGTCTGACTACCTGCCAGTCTCTAACCCCACATCTTCATACCCCTGCCATGTACTCATCTGCCAGACAAATCCTTCCACAACCAGCTCAGATGTGCCTCGAAGAAACCACTCCTGTCCCTTCCCACATGCACTTGGCGAGTGGACCGTCCTTCCTCTGGGTTCCTACAGCCTCTGCCACGCTGTGTCTGGGTGGACACCTTGGCCCCCATCAGGTCACACTGACAGCGAGGGCTGTGTCTTACTCATCCGTCTCCCCAGAGCCAAGTTCAGACCCAGCCCCTTAGACAGCTTTCCTCTGATAACTGCCGGAGAAATTAATGAAAACAACAGCGGACACAGCTGCAAACCCAAGGACCACCTCTGAGCTGTGTGGAGGACAGCCGGCTGCTCCCTGCGGTGGACATTTTCTTGGAAGCGACAACTAGTTATACTAGTTGTAGTCACTACATGAAAGCATGTCATGACTACCTATAAAATCCAACACAGGATGAACCACTGAGCTGAAGAAGATGGCATACTTGCCAAAAGATTTAAAAAAAATTAAAGACAAGTTAATGACTTAGTTTGATTTCAAGTTTCTATAAGGTTTCTGTTCTTCAAAAAGAAATTAAGCATTTTGGGATACATATTCTCGCTTTCTGAAATTAATGTTCTAAGAAAGCAACCCAACCTTATGTAAAATGAAGAATCTTGATTTTTAATACATGAATTATATTTCCAGAAACAAAACTCATGAGGATTAAAGTCTCAATACTAATTGTTAGTGAAATTCCTTTTATACAAATTTTTAGAAATGCATAACAAGTTTAAAATCACTGACTCATGAAGTTACTTAAAATGAACTTCAGAGTGTATCTAAGGAGGGAAAAGGGAAGAATGAAAACTTTTCTGAGAAAACACCTGTCGACCTGCCTGGATGCTACTGAAACGGGCTGCCCTGCGGGTGCAGCCTCCACCTGCAGCGGGGGGTGGGCCTCTCACTGAGGAAGTGGGTTACCACGTGCTAAACAGAGCATCACTATTAAAAACTATGGATAAGGGAATGTTAGGAATTCTAGAAGAAAGACAAATTTTCTAGATATCAAAGCCAATGCGACTTATGTAACATGCTCCTGAAGGCCGACTGTGCGCCTAAGGGAGGGAATCCTAGAGCCCACACTTGAAAAATATAATTCACAGAAAATTATGCTGGCTATTAAGGTAGTGGTCTATCTTTTGAGATATGCTAGGCCAGGAGATGAGAGCACACTTTACGCATACCCGCAGCCTCGAGAGCCATTATGACTTTAAGTAGCTTTAAATGATTATTTAAAAACCACACCTCTCTGTAGTTTCTAACTGCACAATAAATGCTACGAGAAACTCTAAATATGTGTTTAGCAAGAAAATTATGTTTCACACTTATATTACTTCTTTCAAAGATCTTTATTCCAAAACTACTTACTATTTAATCAAGAACATTTGAAGACACTGATTTGATTATATAGACTCTAAAGACAATAAAAACCAGGACAGTCTGGAAGTATCTGCTTTCTTCCCTCTGTCTGCCCCTTCTGGGTAGGACAGTAGTTAAGAGCTTGGACCCTGGAAGGAAGCAAACTTTCTTCTGAAAACCGACTCCCCCTAACTGGCTGTGACCTCGCGTGAGCCGAGCATCTCTAAACTGGAGTTTCTAGTCAGCGAAACGGAGCGTGCAGCACTCACCCACCGCTGGCTACTGGGACGTGCGCTCTCCTACTCGGCCCTAATGTCTGTTTTCTGAGGAAGCTCCCATGGCCTCTAAGGATCAAACTGAGGGAGCCAATTCAATGCAGGACACATCCGCCCCCGTGTCTGACTCTGAACCCAGGGCTCGGGAGACCTGGGGTCGGGAGACGCTGGCTCTGGCTCGCAGGCAGGATGTGCACCCACAGCCAGAGAACGTCGGAGGCCCCTCCGCTGCCAACACTGTGTAAGACTTGTTTGCAAGGCTGGCCCGCACACGCACTTTCTGCAACGTGTTATCCCACAATGTACTGCCCTAAGCAACAGCAAGCTCTCTGAGGAAACATCGAGCATATTACTCTATAATCACAAATTTAGGTCATTTTTTTTGGAATGTCTTAAGAATTTGTTCTTAATCAAGAGGAAAGCTTCTTCAAAGAAGGAGTATTTAGTCCAACCCTCCTGCGTCTGGCCAATAGGACACCGCATCCCTCAGCAAGAACCGGGGAAAGATGGAATATAAACAAAAAGGCAACAAACCCAGTATCCCAGGGCTTTGATGACATCAAGCTTACACATGGGACACGTGCGGTGATCCACAAGCCATGGGTCAATGCACAGTCTATGAAAAATATGCCTAAAAAAATTAAGTTGTGTTAATGTTTTACAATCAATGTTTGTATCATATCAAGGAAACAATACATTCTACCAACTTCTCTTCTCATTACAATTAAATAACATCCAATCAACACTCTAGGTCTGTTCCCGTCCCCTCAGTTCCTATCTATTCTATTTCCCACGTTAAACATGACCTCACAGGGAAATTTCCCCTTCACTCCACAAAAAAGAGCAGTTTACTTCTGCATTATGCTAGGTTGTATTTCTATGTGGTTTTCAAGCTCTTTGGGCACAAATGTGGTTTACCAACAGTAAACTAATAGCAATAAGCTAATACTAAACTGAGAGTACCTTATATTTGTCTATAAATAACGACTCCAGTAGAAATACAGTAAAATATTAACAAATCATCTTTGGGGTGCAAGTTAAAAAACGTTTTGTCACATTTTTCTGTAGCAAACACATCCCTTTCAGCATAAAAAACAATCACCTATGTATTTTCTTCTTTTACTGACTTGCCCTGGTTGGCCGGCTCAGGTGACGAAGGTGAGGAGCTAGGAGAACAGTGTTGGACCAGACAGCTGGGCTCCGGTACCAGTCGGGTGACTGATGCCGCGGCTGAGCTGGTTCCCTAAGCCCTGTGCACCTGCACCACAGGCTCCTCGGAGGGGCGAACCGGCCAGGGGCCAGGGGCCAGGGGCCAGGGGCCAGGGGCCCACAGCAGCAGGCGCGCAGGACCGCGCCATGCACACGCCGCGCGCTTAGGGCGAGCGCTCGGCCGCGACAGCCTGGCGCAGCTTCTCGGCCTCTCCATCTTCAAACGGAAACCGACTCACCAAAGGAATTATTTTTACAAAAACATAAAAGAAACCCATTGGCCATCCTGGAAAACTCACTAAATAAAGCACAGGAGAAAATGGAGGAAAACGCTGAAACCCGGAGCCGAGAAAGGCCAGGAAACGTGCGCAGGTCAAGGCTGGCTCGGGCCGCGCACAGGGGCCCCGCGCTCCGAGCCGCAGGCAGCCTCGGCCGCCCCTCAGGGAAGCATCCTAAGCATTAGTTTTAAGTCAGAAAGACTTGTCCTAAACCAGCCGAGAGTAAAAATACTTTTCTATTTTAATAATTTTCTAGAGGACATGATCACCCTGTAACACTCACCTCAACTCATTCAGTGCCCACCACACCAACCCCTATAACTGCCTACAGACTTAAGGAAACTTTTACTTTCTTAATCCCATACTCACTCATTTCCTCCACAATTACTGAGAACTTAATCTACTATAAAGTACTTATATATATTAAAATACTTTCCAAACATAAAACAAACATAATTATATACAGAGTGGGGCAAAAGCAGGGTAGGTTACAGTTGACCATGTGGAAAATAATACAATAATTGATAAATCATTATACAAGAATAAACTGTGTTTCACATATTCACAACTGGAAACCTGTGCTTTTGCCTGCCCTGTATCAACTTGTGACTTGCTTCTAATAGCTGTGGAGTATAATTAAAACTAATCAAACTCAAACATATAAATTTGTACACCCTTCTGCTAACAAAGCAATTAAAAAGTTATCAAATTATCCCATCATTAAAAAGGAAACGTAACTTCCTACTGGTTAAAAAACCAAGCCCTGCCCTGGCCGGTTTGGCTCAGTGGTGGGTGCCGGCCCAAGGACTGCAGGGTCCTAGGTTCGATTCTGGCCGAGAGCACATACCTTGGTTGGAGGCTGGACCCCCAGCCCTGGTCGGGGCGCGTGCAGGAGGCAACCAATTGATGGGTCTCTCTCACACGTTTCTCTCTCTCTCTCCCTTTCACTCTCTCTGAAAAGCAACGGAAAAAATATCCTCTGGTGAAGATTTAAAAAGCAAACAAGAAAACCCCCAAGCCCCTAATGTACCTAGAGCAAGGGGAGGAATATTTATTTTATGCAACCCCAGAGGACACCAAACCCAGGTGCAGACAACAGCGAAGGGCTCCCTCCCCAGCCGCCCTCCCGCCGCCCCTTCCAGCCCGCGACCGGGCCCCCGCCGGCCAGCGTCAGCTCCCTGCTCTTCCACAGCACACTGTAAAAAGCCCACCCATGGGTCTCCACCGTCTCACCCACAGGCTCCTAAGCGAAGCGATTTTAAAGCGATACGCTACAGGAGTCCTGAAGACTGGAACGTCTTTTCTAGAGGAAGAGACCCTGAGATCATCATTACATGAGGTCTTCAAGTCGCAGAACCAAAAGACTCCTGCTGGGAGCCTGAAGCCTGTCGAGTAATTCTTAACATCTCAGGAGGTAAAAAGAACATACTTGCATGGCAGGGTTCTGACAACATCCTTCACTTTAAAATTTTCAATACACACGGCACAATTCTCAGCATCGACATCGATCCCCTGTAAGAGAAGAGAGCATTCACCAGCCTGGGAGGGAAACACATCCGCGGAGAGGCTCACGGCGCCCTGGGTAAAGCAGCGACAATTCTAGTCTACTTGGGTACTACCTGGAACTAAGTGTACAATTTCTACTTGGTATTTACTTCTTACCACTATCAAGAGAATATTTAAAGAAATTTGCTGAAAAGAAATGTCACTGTCTACCTAATGAGACGTGAGCAGTGTTTACATACTAGGCTAGCGTCCATGGTTTTTATATTTTAAAGTGTTCATGTTTTAAGGGCTTTAGAAATGCAAATGCCTGCTTTACTATGATAAAGTTGACTATTTTTCAAATATAAAAACCTATAAAGGAAAGTTATCCAATAAGCTGCTTGTTTTCTGGAATCATTAAAAAGAAACTAGAGCACAGTCACGAAGCCTTGCTGGGGTACAGCTGCAGCTTGTGAAGGAGGAAATGCGAACACTAAGCACCCGAAAATATTTACCTCACTAGTGATAAAAGAATTACAGATTGAAATAAGTTATTTTTTTTTCACTTATCAAATTAACAAAGGTAAAAACAAACAAAAATTGCAGGGGAGGAAGCAGTCTTTGCAGGGGAGGAAGCAGTCTTATGACAAAGTTTCCACTCCTAAGAATCCATGGGTCCACCTCACCCCTCAGGCTTCCCTGGGTACCCTCAGGGTCGACCCACCTGGCATCCCACCGACCACAGCGGGTGGGGCTGGAGGTGCCACCAGACCCAGAGGGGCCAATGCACTCGTATTCCCAAGGCTCTGGGGCGACTCAGGAACCACCCATCAGTGCCCGGTGGCTACAGCTCTAGCAAGTTGATTTTATGAAACTCAATTACACGTAATTATTTTAAAATATATTTAGCTATGTGTATCACTTGTTAATAAGCAAGCAATGAAAACTGATTTTATATGTAGATATGGTTATCAAAGATTGTATTAAAATGAACTTTATAACACTTAAAATTATATGTTACAACTAAAGTAAATATCACTTAATATTTATCAGTATGCCATGCAAGAGTGATGAAATCATTTTTAAAGTCCCTAATGATTTAAAAATTTACACAGTATATAAATGAGTCCACAAGAAAAGAAAAATTAGAAAACAAACTCTAGTCTCTAGAACTGGACAAGATGTAGATTTAAGACACTGGCTGTGTAGCTCAGTAGGTCAGAGCCTCATCCCCATACACCAAGGTGGTAGGTTCAATCCCGGTCAGGGCACATAGAGGAATCAACCAATGCTGCGAAAAGGAGCGGAGCAGCAAAGCACTGTCTCTCTCCCCCTGCCTAAGATGAGTATGTGTATATATATATATATATATATATATATATATATACACACACACCTATTTAAAACAACATTTTTGCATACAAGTTTAAAACATAAAATAGTCAGAAAATCCACGTATGTATCTCATGGGCCACTTATGGACCCTCTTTTCTAAACCACTATTTTGACAATTTTCAAAAAACCAGTCCATGGAAGCATATTTTCCAAAATGGTCTTAACAGAAAGAGGGTAGTATCAATTTACTTATGTTCTCAAAGACTTAATTCAGTAAATTATCCATATAAATCAGTCTTCCCACTTAAGGACTGAGAATTCCTGCTTCGGAGAGTAGGAAGATTCCAAGAGGAACCTAAGGCTACCTGCTGTCAAGTCCCTGGCTACACCAAAGGCATGCCGCTTGTCACGGGCATGCATCACAAGGACCTTGTTTTGTAAATCGGATGCTAACCCTAACCCTGAAGATGGGAAACTTTTTTAAACTTTTTCTGTTCAGTATATCTGCATGGCAAGAAACCCTGCACAAGCTATTAAAACTCACTGTCACGACAACGTGAAGGGTTAGGGAAGGCATGGCAGCCAAAATACAATGCCAGGGATATCTCAATATTAAAGATAGCACATAACCCATTAATATCACATTCCGAAGTTTTCAAATCAAAGGTCCGTATTTGACGTGCTGTTTCTGTTTTGGCCCTTTAAGTAGGTCAGAGGAAGAGAAAAACCACGAGTGCAGTTATTCTTTCATTTCAAGGACACAGACTAGAGGGTGAGACAGATTAAGTCTCAACTTAGTGAGATAAAATGAAAACCAAAACAACTGAACAAACCTACAGCTATGTCAACATAGTTATCAGAGTTTCACGGCACAAAAACGGTCTATTAAAAGAATAAACACTGCTGTGTTAGCAACCGCTTTCCTTTTAAGGAATCTACCCTCTAAAATGCGAGGTTCTAGATTCGGGATCTGTCCTGTTCTAAAAAAGGTTCACCTCGGGTATGACTTTGGCCTGTTAAGTCTCGGGCTGGCCATGTCAAAATGTTTCTTTTGTAAAAAAGTACTTCATTTTCTCCCTGGAATTAAAGGAATCTGAGAGAGTAAACACAGTCTCGGATTCAACAGAGATGACTTGACATTTTCAAGCGTCTGTGGTAGAGACAACTTCTTTATCTTCTTTAGTCATCTGAGTCTGACCAACAGGTGGAAGTTTTCCCGATGATGGACATATTGGCGCTGTCCAGGATGGTAGCTACCAGCCAATGTGGCCAATTTAAGCATTTGAATATAGCTAGTGTGATGGAAGAAATGACTTTTAAGTTTAATTTTATTCATTTAAATTCAAGTAGCTGTGTATGCCAAGTGGCTACCTAGGTCTGAAAGGCTCGTCAACATATGCAACTGAGTTATTTCTGACAGCCCTGCTTTGAAATAAACACAAAAAATGAGTCAGGATTCACTCAACTAGTTAAAACTTCACATGTTCAGTAACTGTGAATTTAGCAGACTGGAAAAGCATTAGATACACAGACAGACATATAGTCTAGTGGAAACCAAAAACAAAACAGAAAATACAAACCACAAAAATATTACCTTTTCTCCATGCTTTACAGTGTGAAGTGGAAGCTGGCCAATAACTTTCTTGGTTTCTTTTCTATGGCTCTTAGGTAGGAGAAAAATTATTATAATTATTGAAAATTTTATGTAAAACCTGTTTTAAAAAATTCATAAAATATAAGGAAGCTTATATAAAAAATTCATTTAAAAAGCAAAGTTAAATGACTATAATGAAAATAAAACTACCATCGGTCTTAATGTACAAAATAAGCACATATAAGAGCTAACTGATGAAGAATATTTAGTTTCACTTAGCATAACCCCTCTCGGTCTATCCATGCTGCTGCAAATGAGTCAGAGAGAGACACACACCATATGATTTCGTGTATCTGTGGAATCTAAAGATACAAACAAACAAACAAAATAGAAACAGACACATAGACACAGAGAACAGACTGGTGGTTGCCAGACAGGAGGGGAGTTGGGGGACTGGGTGAAAAAGGGGAAGGGATTGAGAAGTACAGACTGGTGCTTACAGAATAGTCCCGGGGACGTGAAGTACAGCACAGGGGACGTCGTCAGTAATAATGTAATAACTATGTGTGGNCAGTAACAGTGTGATAACAATGTGTGGTGCCAGGTGGGTGCCGGAAATACAGGGGGGTCCACTTTGTAAAGTATAGCATTGGCTAACCAGTACAAAATAATACTGAATGTAAACTGTAATTGGGGGAGGTAAGAATTCCATTTTCAATGCCATGCTTAAACAAGAACCCAGTTCCAATTTTTATGTTTAAATATTGGCAAGAAAGCAGTGAGCTAAGGATGCGGCTACCATCTATCAACTTCCCTAAAAGGAAAGGGGCGTCCTAGTCATCAGGTAGAAGGTGACTCAGAAATGACTATCTAAAGCCTACAAAGTCAGGACAGGTGACTTTTCAAGACAATAGAGGTAAGTGTGAAATTCTGCGCTGGAAGCCTCTGGATCTTCAGCCCCTCCCCCGCCTCCCGTCTGCTGGATGGAGACCGTTCCTCTGCAGGTAAATGGCTTTGAAAGTTGCCCCACAATGGAGAGAGCAAAGCCCACCCCCACTCTGCTCTTCACCTTAGGGCCCAGAGTTCTCTTTTTAAATATGTTTTTTTAAATTGAGTTTTAGAGAGAGAGGAAGGGAGAGGGAGAGACAGACACAGAAACATCGACGAGAGAGAAACATCATCGATCAGCTGCCTCCTGCAGGCCCCCTGCTGGGGACTGAGCCTGCAACCCAGGCATGTGCCCTGACCAGGAACTGAACCATGACCTCTCCATTCCTAAGTCAACCCTCAACCACTGAGCCACACTGGCTGGGTCCAGAGTTCTCTCTTTAAATAGAACCAGGTCCCCTCTACTTCATGCCTTTTGGTTTTTCCTTTATGTTTGCAAAACATGCAAAAAGTGACCTGGATTTAAATTTATCTAATTTCTGCCCCAGCTGGTTTGGCTCAGTGGTGGGAGTGTAGGCCTGTGGACTGAAGGGTCCCAGGTTCAATTCTGGCCAAGGGCATGTACCTCATTTGCAGGTTCGATCCCCAGCCCCGGTTGGGGCACGTATGGGAGGCAACCAGTTGATGTCCTCTCACACTGATGTTTCTCTCTCTCTGTCTGAAAAACAATGGAAAAAATATCCTCAATTGAGGATTAAAAATGTGTATGTAATTTCCCCCAGAACAGAAAACAATACATTCTAATTTAAAAGTTACTTTCAAAAAATCATATTAATACTTAACAATTATGAGTGAAAATGATACTAAGAATAGGGTCCAGCGTCCCGCCAGATGTGGCTCAGCAGTTGAGCATCGACCTAGGATCTAAGAGATCATGGTTTGATTCCCAGTCAGGGAACATTCCCAGGGTGCGGGCTCGATCCCCAGTCGGGAGCATGCAGGAGGCAGCCGATCAATGACTTTCTCATCATTAATGTTTCTGTCTCTCTGCCTCTCCCTTCCTCTCTCTTGGATCAATAAAATATATTTAAAAACAAAACAAAAGAAACGGGTCCAGCCCTGGCCGGTGCGGCTCAGTGGTTAGAGTGTCACCTGTGCACCGAAGCGTCAGAGGTTTGATTCCTGGTCAAGGGCACGTACACAGGTTGCAGGCTTGCTCCCAACCCTGTCAGGCAACAAGTCAATGTGTCTCTCTCACACCGGTGTTTCTCTCTCTCTCTCCCCCCTCCTTCCCACTCTCTTTGAAAAGTGCTGGAAAAAATATCCTCAGGTGAGGATTTACAACAGCAAGAGAATACAGTCCAATACAACTTCAAGCAATATAGATGGCAAATATTTTACAAGCTATCTTTTAAAAAAGCAAAGTTAAAAAGAGTTATCCATAATTACCTGGCTTCCAAACTGTGAGCCAGTGTACAGGAAACGCTGTATATAGTAAAATATTAGCCACGCTAACGAGATAATCATCATGGTGATGAAGGCAATAGCCACAAACACCACGGACTGGCCGCTGATGAGCTCCTGCACATGGCGCTTGCCAACCCCTATGGTCATTTTGACTTGAATTTCTTTTTGCACCAGATCCAAAATTTCTTTTCCTTTTGAGTAGCTAACCATGATGAACACTATATTTCCTGTTCCTGTAAGAAAGAACAAAGAAATCAATATAAAGAATGCAAAATACGATATAGAGAAAGTTAAAAGAGAAACATACGATTACTATGGCTCGTCCATGCATATAAATGTGAAAACTTTGATAAAATGGGTAATTTTTAAGGAAAACATAGTGATCCCCAAAGAGAAAACAGACTGATTGCATGAGATGTAGAATAAATCACCAAGAACTACCTCCCCAAAAGCAAGAGTCCCACTCAGTTTCAGAGGTGTATTCTACCACCAAACCCTTTAAGGACGAGCAACACCAATGACATTTAAATTGTTCTACAGCAGGTTTAAAAAATACATTTTAAAATTATTTCCAAGACAATAAAACCAAAATGGTAATAAAAAAACAAGCAAAAGAACCACACAGCCCAACCTCACTTATGAACATTGCTACCTCACGCCTAAAGCATGTATGTGCACTAATCTCAGGGCAGCCAGCTGAGAACTTCCACATGACCACTACTATTTAACACGATCTGAAGGCATGAGCAGGAAACAAGACAAGAGGGAAAGAGAAACGGCGAAGGCGTGAAATCATCCATTTCATGAATGTAAGTTAATGCAATAACCACAAAATGTCAACAGGATTTTAAAAACCTTAAAATCGCCACCTCTGAAGTTCACTTAAGGGAAAAAAAATAAAGAATGATCAGGCAAACCTTTTAAATAGAGTTTTATTAGCCTTTACATTTAAAGTAATTAAAACAGTTGTGATAGTAACATATGAAGATGACTAGGGTGGAGAATAAAAAGCCTAGAATTTAGACCTCAAAACATAAAAGAATTTAGGAAACAATAAAAGTGGAATTTCAAATCAATGGGCCAAAATGTATTATTTAAAAAAAAAAAGTGTGGGGGAAACTGGGTGTTATCTGAGGAAAAAAGCTATTATCCCATCCTCACAACTTAGGCCAAAACAAATTCTGAAGATTTAGAATCAAAGATTTAAATATATTTCAAAAGTAAACATAAAAGAGCCAGAAGAAACATGGGGATTAATAAATATAAAATACTGAAGAAAAACCTTTCCAAGTATGAAAAACCACCTCAAATCTTCTTTAAAAAAATAAAATAAAAAATAAAAAAGGGTCTGACCAGCCATATATAAAAATTAAAATTTTCTACATGGCTGAAGAGCAAAATCAAGGACTCAAGGTGAAAAGAGCAAATGGCCAATTGGGAATATATACATGTAACATAACAAAAACAAAAAACTAACTCAGCTTCCTATAAGAAAAAGAACAATGGGAAAACAAGGGAAATGAAGTCAGTTTGCAGAAAGGAAAATACAAATGGGTTTTATTTTTTAAAACAGCAGCTTTAGTGAGATATAATGCACATGCCATGAAACTCACCCTTTTAAAGGGTACATTCCAGTGACTTTCAGTATATTTACAAACGTATGAAACCATCACCGTCTAATTCCAAAACACCTTCATCATCCCCCAAAGAGCCTGCACAGTTTCTCTCCAATAGGTGGATTTTGGACATATGAAAAGCGGTGGTCCACACAGCAGTTTGGCCGTAACCCTGCCAGAGACAAACGTGTCTGACACACTCGGCTCACAGAGTGCGCCCAGACCCGCACCCGCACCCGCGGGGCAGGGGACCACAAGCTGCGGGGGAGGGCGATGGCCGTCCACGCGCGGCTGCTGACCACTGAGACACATGTACGTATGTACACGTGAGGTATCTATAGAGATGCTGACCGTCAGTGTTTTTTCTAGGTTTTTGCCATCCCAATCTAAAAGTCCATCGGCAAGAAACCAGCCATGCAAGTCACAGTGAGGCAGCGGCTGTCGGTACTGACAGAGCTCAAGCTACACAGACGACCAGAAAGGCGCATGTAAAACTCTGGGGAGCAGAGATCAACGCAGACTATCTCTGGGAGGCGGCCCCAGGGACTGGGGACCCTCCTGCCGCTGCGAGAGGAGCTGCGCATAGTAAAAATTCTGTACCATGTGCACATATTACTATTCAAAAATTAATTTAAAAATACATATATAATGTTCTCTGGCATGACACTAAAACCACACTGTAACACCATTTTATCTTAAGAGAGAAATTTGATCTGTAGGAAACCCACTGTGACCCTCAGCCATCGGGATTCAGTTACTGAAACACCAGAAGGGCACCCTTCTCAGTGGCTCCTGCCTGGAAGCCGATCCTACGACCTGGGCCTAAAAGCATCCCTTCACAAGAGCTGAAGTCTCAGCGCTCACTCACTCTACCATGTCACCACCGGGAGACACGAGGACTGAGGCACGTCTCGCCTTCAGGAAAATAAACATCTCGTGGCTAAGAAAGACAAATACAGACACAATTATGATAGTTATACCACCCGCAATCACACGGCACTTCACAAGCTGAAAGCCTCCTATAAACCTCCTTTCTGCGGAAACCTTCAGGAACATACGTGAGTAAGAAGACAGGCGTAGGGAAGCACGTGTCCCTGTCTCAGTTAATAGCTTTTACACAGAAAACGAACTGTCTATGCCGTGCTTACAGCCACATACACCACCTGGTACTGAACAATGTTCTTCGCGTGACAATGCAGAAACCTGACTCTGGAGGGCTTTCGCGTTTCTCTCACCCGAAGCGGGCAGAGGCCACGTTAGCATTCCGCGGGCGCGGGAATCCTGGGCTGCTCAGTGTCGTCCGGCACCTGGAAAAGCCGGGCTGGAGGAACCGGCACGGTGCCGTGCGGGGCACCCAGGCTTCCGAGCCACAGCGGGGGTCAGCCTCTCTCTGCCACCACTGTCGGGGCAGGAGAATCTGCCTTCCCTGAGAATATGCCTTCAGCTACAACATGGAGGTGAGAACTTTTCTATTCTGAGCTGTCACTGATTTAATTTAATAAGGAAGAAGAAAACAAAGAGCTGCAGGACTGAGGCGGATCGCTTTGTTTGGGCGATGGGGCATCTTTCCCTGCGAAGTGCATCTCAGGTACGTCCTGGTGGACAGGAAAGCTGACAAGCGAAGGAAAATGAAACCTTCTAGGCTGTGAAACCATCATAAAAACATATTTAGGATGGTGACTGGTCCAGTTTGGTTAGTGACTGAAGGTGCTAGTCTCATTACCCCTAGTGCCTCACAAAGAAGCTGGCACACAGTAGTGTTTAGTAAATATCTGTTGAACGAATGAATGAATGAATGAATGAACAAGAGGTGAAAGATGAACCAAGATGAGAGAGGTTCTTCAGCACCTAAAATCTCAAGTGAGGGAGGGGTGAGACAACTAACACTCGGCATCAGAAGGACACCCTGAACTGAAAACACTTGTCATATCAATCTGAAATTTTCCACCTAGGAAATTAATCTTAGTTTAGCAAGTTAAAAGAAATCATTAAAAAAAAAGTTCTGTGCCTAGGATGAAGGTAAACCGTGCGCTGTGTGTACTGTAATTACACCAACAAGACTGCTTCTGGGAACTACTTTAAATTAATAAAACTCAGAATGAAGACTCATTCTATCCTGTGACTTGCTTTCCTGGGACATTTTGGGGGACAAACAGGAGGCAGGGCAGTTGGGTAAAAATGCACTAGCCTGGGTCACCACCCGCACAGCCTCAAGGGAGCTTGCTGGCCCTGCCCTTCTCCCCTGAGGCATCTCTGTCACTCCCAGGGAGCCTCAGTGGCATATGATGACACATCACAATTTATTCTCAAACTAAATAGCTGGATTTCTTCACAGAAGGCACACACACCCAAAGACTTGGGATGGGTGAGAAAAAGTCCTTAGAATTATTTTTCTTCCCTAGGCCTTAACATTGCTACCAACCATATTTGACTAAAAAAAGTCATCTTGTGCAAGTCTCCTCCATGCTCCCCAAATCTAAACACACCACCATCAGACAGGAGAACCTGAGGCAGTCTGCTTTATTTTTGTCTTACACTTAGCACAAGGCCTTCGCACATAGTACATCATCAAAAACCTACGTAAAAACAATAATAAATACCAAATAAAGTATTCTTTAGCAAGCCAAATTATCCATAGAACTCTTCTATGCCAAAAATAAAATTGGGTGTACTTTTATTTCCTTTCAAATTTCTGTGTTCCTCCTACCACCTTGTCAAAAACAAACAAACGATAGTTTCAAAATTCTAGAGGGCGAGCTTTGAGTCTATTGTACCATTTCTCCTCCAAGGAAACTATTTAAAGTAGATTTCAACATTCTGTTGAAGGAAATGGGAAGTGCTGAAATATTTAAAGTAGTGGATTAGATTTCTGTTCTAGAGAACTCATTCAGGGAGCAAGAAATACATTTTAAAGTTCTAGCAAGAGAATTCCACGAACTTTCAGGTTTTCTTTTTTCCAATAACATAACTTGCATACCCTCTCCACCTTTTTCCCTTGACCTAGAGACTTCCTGGTTAAATCTTGAAGGTTCAGCATAAGCTCAACCTAAGGTGTGGCTTTTCAGCACCACCCATCCCTTTGAGTATGCAATGCACCAAAGCCTCTTAGATATGCCTCTTTTTATGTGCCTCCTATAATTTCTTTATAGATCTCTCTCCCTCACTAGCCCAGCACTACCTGTTCTTATTTATTAGTTTTGCAGCCCAGCATGATGCAGTGATGACCCAGAGAAGGGTTTCTGAATGAATCAATCTGAAAAACTGGCTTATCTTCTAGTATTATAGTTTAAATAACCCAAAAAGGAGAATATTAACTCCTCTGCAGGGGAAACAGTACACTAAATACGAATGTAAATGTCTATGAAATTTGAAGCTATTTTACATTTTAATGGTTGGCTCAGAGTGAAGAGGACCCAAAAATAAATGCAATTCTTGGAATGTTAAATTATGTTTTGGATAATCTGGCTTGCTCAAAAATATTTTGTATTTGTTGAATATACTGCACAACAATCTTAGTGAAAACTCTACTATTTTCCTAAATGCATTACTTTATCTCAGTCACTCAGCCTTTCACAGTGTTAATCCTGCACCCAGAATGTCCTGTAGCCCACCCACCCCTACCTCACACCACACATCCATCCCCAGAGACACTTTCTCTATCATCCTGTCCTTCAAAACTCAGTCTTTCTGGGAACTGTCCTAGTTAATTAATTCCACCTTTTATTAAGCTGTCAGGTGCCATTTCTGTCTTCTTATAGCACAAAAATACACACTAAATTCAAAGCTAAATTTTTAGATCAGTTGTGGGAGTAAGCACTAAAGATCATCAAGAATTTATTAGTCTAGCCTTCTGGTCAAGACGGCAGTATAGGTAAACACAGTACTCAAATCCTCCCACAACCACATCAAAATTACAACTAAACTGCAGAACAACCATCATTCAGAACTGACTGAACAGAACTCCTACAATTAAGGATATAAAGCAGCAGCCACATGAGACTGGTAGAAGGGGCACAGACATGGAACAAAAGGGGCTGGTCCCAAACCCATGTGTGGCGGATAAAATAGGGAGGGATACATTGGCTGCAGAGGTCCCCACTGAGGAGCGAGGGATCCCAGTGCCAGGAAGAGAAGTCCCCATAACTTCTGGCTGTAATAACCAGTGGGGATTGTGGCTGAATGAGACAGAGGCTGCTGGAGTCCCTGGCAGTTCGTCTTAAAGGGACTTACTCTGACTCACTTCCTCTGAGCTCTAGCATTGGGGCAGCAGCATGAAAGGCACCAGGGACATACGGGGAGGAGGAGTCGCTCTTCTCCCAGACAGAAGTTATTGTTCCCTTTGATAAGCCCTCCCCACACAGAGTGGGCAGGTGGGTGCTATAAATGAGTCTCCATCAACCAGTTAACACTGTTTACCCACCCTGGCGTTTCCCTGAGAACCTGCCCCACCCAACTTGCAGGCCCACCCAAGCTATCTTCAGTGGGTTTTCCAGACTAATGGCCTGTCTTGGCTCAGTTTGCTAAAATCTCTCAAACAAGCAGCACCTGGGCTCATACCTCTGGCTAAATTGCCCAAGGCCTGGCACTACCGGCAGCTGGCCTTTGTTTGCAGCTTGGCTTCTTCTGGGTTCCTCCAAGCCAAGCACAAGTAGCAGTCCTCTGCAGATTGCTTTGTAGCTCATGCCGGGTGGCTCTGAGCAGGGCACCACGTGGTGAGATTCAGACCACTTTGAATCACCACCCAACCGCTCCACAAGCACCACACTCAAGGGGCAGACTTAGCAGGCACCAGGGCCCCAATGAAGTAAGTCCGGCTCTGTGGGTGAGCCCCCACACAGCTGATCCTCCATGGTGGTCGCAGACAGTCCTTGCAGCCAACTGGCCTAGGAGTAAATCCCTCCCATTGACGTGCCAAAAGCAATCAAGGCTCAAATACAAGAGGGTGAACACAATCCACATGGGGGGCGCACCTAGAGTGCCCAGCTCGGGTGCTTGGGGAGGCTGTGCCACTGAACCCTACAAAACACCTACTACATAAGACCACTCTATGAAGCCCAGGAGACACAGCAGCTCTACCTAACACATAGAAACAAAGAGGGAGGCAGA